TGAGCAAAAAAAAAAGGTCTAAGCTCCAAAGAATAAATATTTATTGTTTCTTCATGATGATAATAATAATAATAATTTAATATATTGATAATACACGAAAAATAGTAAAAAAAATTACATTATCCGATTATTTATTATTACGCGATCGACCGWTRATGGTAAAATTAATTTTTATAACGATCGACCTATATTCCTAGAAAGATCTACCAGTCGATCGCGATCGTTGGCGACCCCTGTAGCTATGTTGTACAGATTGTGTATTTCAAATTGTAAAATAATAAAAAATAAAAAAGTTATTTAGAAAATTAACTAAATAATTTTTAGTTCAAAAGTTTAAAAAACAATTTTTTTAACCTCGCTAATGCCCCACTTTTTCTGAAATAACAATGATATCATAATATTTATAGTTGATATTATCAACGTTGCTTAATGTTTTTACTTGCCTCTATGGACCATTTTTTTGGCTGTGCAGGGCACGTATCACAGAGATGGGTGATGGCCCTGATGGGGATGCTGGGCGTGACGATGGCGTACGTGATGCGAGCATGCTTGGGCATCACGCTCACGCAAATGGTGATGCCCGTACAGGCACAGGGGCGGCRTAGCGACCAGCTGAAGTCCGTGCAATACGACTACTGTCCGGTACCGGTGACAACGGCGCAGAGGCGACTTAACTCATCAGCGTCCAACCTGACATCGGTGGCGGCCACGGTGGCGACGCAAGAGCACTTGCACGGCGGCCGCCCTAGGTTTGATTGGGACGAGGAGACACAGGGAGAGGTGCTGTCGGCGTTCTACTACGGTTACATACTCACCCATCTGCCAGGCGGCGTGCTGTCCCAGAGGTTCGGTGGCAAACACACAATGGGTTTCGGCATACTCTGCACGGCCATATTCACGCTGATGACACCATTTGTGGCACACATTGGGTCCAGGCCCCTGATAATCCTGCGATTCGTCGAAGGACTTGGTGAAGTAATGCGCACATGTATAATATTTTTATGGTACCTGTATATGTTATCATATTTTTATTATAACTAAGTCAATGCAAGACGCAAGTCGAATAATTAAGTTAAGTTTTCAWAGAAAAATAGAGGTTAATTATAAAGTTTAAAGAGACTTTTCTTTAATTTAACTTATAGAAGATAAAAATTAAATTAAAAAAAAAAAAGTAACAATAATCAAACACATTTTTTAATAACTGAATACTTACAATTCATCTCAAAGCACGTACTAACGTGATAAAAGTATACAGTAAACACAAAATGTTTTATGGATCGTAATTTGGCTAGTGGTAATTTTACTTTAATTTTTTAACTCATTAATGCCTACCGGTCACCATCATTGCATATTTAATGAACGTGGAAGATTTTATTGTTTAAATATATTAATAAATAACATTTTCAAATATTCGAATCCTATTATAATAATATAAATTCATGCATCTTAAGAGCCACTGAATAATAGTCCACGATATAAAGTATAACATTAGTCATTGATGTTTTTAGAAAAATAGTTGGTAAACAATATTTTTCACCATGACTTATAGCATGTGTTTTACAACATTGTACAATTACGAATTSATATTTTACCTATATCTATCACGAGTAATATTGTATATTATAATACGCAATTCATTAGATGAACCATATTATATGTGGTTAAAAATATTGCATATATTTTCTTTAAGTCTTAAGGAGACCTTATCATTTATTATAGCAAACAGATAAACGCGAATTGTCTCATGACCATTAATCGGTCCAATTTTTTCGAATACGTTTACCGTAAACTGAGTTTGATCTCATTTCTCAAGTATTCATTATGTATACCTACAAATATATGATATATCATTCTTTTTAATTGTCCTAGTTGCACTTAAGGGACCTTTGCATTGATTTTTTTTCCACTTTAGGGCATGACGTTTCCGGCGCTTTGCACACTCTTGGCGCAGTGGGCGCCCCCCGAAGAAAAAGGAAAATTTGCTACGCTAGTGTTTGCAGGTAACTCGTATTAAACATATGACAAAATTTSATTGTACACGCACAATCACTTACTCGGATAATTTTGTACACAGGTGCACAAGTCGGTAATATTTTGTCAAACTTTTTGAGCGGGTTCATCATGCGGTACATACCTGGTGGTTGGCCGAACGTCTTTTACTTTTTCGGTATTGTTTCAATCCTCTGGTTTATAATTTGGTGCATGTTCGTATATAACGATCCAAATTCCCACCCATTYATCTCGGACGAAGAACGGGCCTACTTGAAAAAATCCATCGGAAGACTAGAAAGGAAGAAGGTTTGAACCCTTTTTTAGTTAGACCTTCGCTGTCATAACTCATATTAACATTGTACGAACTAAGATATTTATTTATGTGCACAGGATCTAACGCCTACACCGTGGAAATCTATTCTATCCTCTGGACCAGTATGGGCACTGATCATCGGTGGAGCAGGACACGATTGGGGCGCTTTCACTCTAATCAGTGATCTTCCTAAATATATGAGTGATGTCTTGCATTTTTCCGTGACTGAAGTAAGTTGAAAGCAAAAACTGTATGCCAACAAACTAGGTATACATTTATATTAATTTTAAATATTTATGGAATAGAATGGTTTGTTGACGTCAATCCCATTTCTCGCCCAATGGGTCACATCTATTGCTGCCAGTGTACTAGCCGATCGCCTAATAAGTAAAGGATCAATGAATGTCACCCAAGTCAGAAAAATATATGCCATTATAGGTATAAAYATTGAGTGAAGATATCACTAAAATACACCATCCAAAGTTATGTAAAAAAAAAAAAAAATACAAATTTTATATGCTTTCAGGAAATCTTGGTCCCGCTTTGGGAGTGATGTGTGCTTCATTCGTTGGATGTAATAAACTTATTGCAACATTGTGTTTTACCTTGGGCATGGCACTCATGGGATTCTGTTATCCTAGCTTACGTATTAATTCACTTGACTTATCACCCAATTATTCAGCTACTCTGATGGGGTTGGTAAATGGTATTGGTTGTTTATCAGGAATGGCCACTCCATATATTGTAGGAATCCTCACACCAAATGTAAGCTTGCGAATTTATGTGTACAAATGTTCAAATGTATTAATAATTTAAATTGATTTAGTCAACCCATTTTTTCAAATTATAATTCTATATTTCTATTTAGTATTTACCTAGTTTAGGCACATATGATATGTTATTTAGTATATTAAATATTTTGTTTTTAATATTTTAGAGAACCGTTTTAGAATGGCGTTTGGTATTTTGGATCATGGTGATAATAATGATGTCAACATGTTTAATCTTTGTAGTTTTTGGATCTGGTGAAATACAGCCATGGGATGATTTAAAACAGTATCGTCTAAGTGAAAATGAAAAGGATCATAAAGATGATGAATCAAATATTATACAATTGAAATCAATAGAAGAT